TGTAAAATAACACTTTATGCAGTCGTAAACATTCGAAGTGGATCAAAGTTGTCCTCAACAACACCCATTCCTGTCGAAAGACAATTTTGAAAAACTTTTTTTCTTCAAATCTTGACAACTACTATACTCTTCATTATAGGAATATTTAAATAGAACTAAGCAAAGATTTGTTTCAAAACTATTTCTAAATTCAGTTCTAATTTCTAGCAAACGAATAAATTAACAATTATAACGAAGTGTGTTGTAAAAGTTATATCCAAACACACGTATTCTTATGCCCCATATGGTGATGCATACGTCTTCAAAACCCGACAGGCGGACAACTCTAAACTTGTTTTTATTAAAACAAATAATAATATGCATAATAAAAACATCATCGATGCTGAAACCATAATTTGCGCAGCCCTACTAATAACAATCGCTAAGTACTCCCTATTATCAAATATTTGGGACTTGACTGGTTAACACTGGGTTGAAAAACAGCAGATATATCAGCAAGCAACACACTTGCACTCTCTGTTAAGCAAGCAGCTGAACATGACACATTTAACATGCCTGACCACCGCAATCAACAGATCTCCACAGAGACTATATTATCAAGAAGAGCCCAGGGATTTAGACATGCCTGACATTTATGGCCAGGATACTTTAAGACCATTAAATTAAAAGAATATACTACCAGATATATTGTCTGAAACTAATTAGAACCATAGCTTTGATTACTAAGTAAACACACAGCAAACTCCAATGACTACATGGCTTATCTGTTATTCCAACAGATGGCCTTTCATTCTTGTCAGAATTGGTGTTTACGGTGGCACATCAAAAAAGAAATAGGATCCCAGAAGTACAGCTTAACTAAAGGATAAACACTCCTATAGATTATAGGCTTGTTTAATCTCCAAACACTTGTCAGCGAATCACAAAAAGGTACAATGCATAATGTCTGTTCAGCGAGCGTCGTGTTTGATCCTCTGGTTTCCAGACCAACATATCGGATTTATGTGACATGGAACAGCACGGCCTTTTTTCCATTCCATCTGCCCGTAAGGAAAACCATTGAGACTGCTGAGTGCAGTGTTTTTATAAAAAGACCACCACACTATCTGCTTTCCATCCGTTTCCACAGAACACACTTGACAATTCGCACAGTGCAGCATCGAGTGCCTTATTTAAAAGCTGTCACAACCTTGGCTGAATACAAACTTCTTATAGGAGAGAATCCCTGCAATGTGAACCTGTTATCAATACCATGCATAGTGACAGGGGGGATTAAAGAGGCCTGCTAGCACTGTGCAGCAATGTGCTTTCTAGTATAACACAAGCAATGGTGCAAGCATACTAAACACTTTGCACATTAATTATCATTTTTGGGCGGGTTTAAACATTATCCCCCAGTTTCCAAGACAAGGCTTTAGGCTATTACTAGACTAAACTGCATGTATTAGTTGTTTTAAGTAAAAATAACTTGTAGTGATAGATAATTTATAACTTGTAGTGATTAGGTAATTTAGTGCAGGCCTAGTCCAGGCTTAAGCTATAAGCACTGCCCTAAGACATTATGAGTTTTAGATATATAAAACATTTGAAATCAACAAGCTAACATTAAGAATAAATGCTAATAATCATATATAAATATCAACAAATACATAAATATATCTACAAACACACACGTGTAATCATGTAGCAAGTAATTACATTGTATGTACTGTGTTTATGTGTGCATGCTGTAATATATATATATATATATATATATATATATATATATATATATATATTTTTTTTTTTTTAATATATATATATATATATATATATATATATATATATATATACAGTTGAAGTCAGAATTATTAGCCCCCCTGAATTATAAGAACCCCTGTTTATTTTTTCCCCCAATTTCTATTCAACGTAGAGAAGATTTTTTCAACACATTTCCAAACATAATAGTTTTAATAACTCATTTCTAATAACTGATTTATTTTATCTTTGCCATGATGACAGTAAATAATATTTGACTAGATATTTTTCATGACACTTCTACACAGCTTAAAGTGATATTTAAAGGCTTAACTGGGTTAATTAGGTTAACTAGGCAGGTTAGGGTAATTAGGCAAGTTATTGTATAATGGTGGTTTGTTCTATAGACAGTCAAAAAAAAAATTAGCTTAAAGGGGCTAATATTTTTGTCCTTAAAATAGTGTTTAAAAAATTAAGAACTGCTTTTATTCTAGCCTAAATAAAACAAATAAGACTTTCTCCAAAAGGAAAAATATTATCAGACATGCTGTGAAAATTTCCTTGCTCTGTTAAAAATCATTTGGGAAATATTTAAAAAAGAAGAAAAAAAATCAAAGGGGGGCTAATAATTCTGACTTCAACTGTATATATATATATCAGTAATAAGGCTGATAAAGTGACACCTGTTCCTTTCTGATTTGCAATGAGAGAGTTGTTGACAAGTTGATATGGAGCCATATCATTTATAAACCGTACTTTATTACCTAGAACAATTGTTTGAGAATAGATAAGTACTTTTGTAATATATAATCTCTTGGCCTGGAACATCTGACATTATAAAACACAGAAATACAACTATTAACTTTTAACATGTTTCACGGTTACAACCCTTTTTCATCAACAATGATCGAATAAAATAAATGACTAATTAACGGTAATAAATTAAAAATGTGCAATCCTACACTTGGAAAAATATTTAAAATTTACAATTCATAATTGTCCCATCACCTGAATGGTAAACTTTCATGAGTCTTGCAGTAAATAAAAGCTTTAATTAATTGTATTACTACTTTTTTAATGGAAAGCTTGAAGGTGTAGCTAAAATGTGTAGTAAAATGTGCTGTTAAATCACTGTTAATTTTTTTTTCATTTAAAATATCAGATGCAAGTCAGTGACTACAGACATTCCAGAACGCATGAACACACTTCCTGCTGCTGTGGAATAAATGTAGTGCTATTCTGTTTAAAACTTTTGTTTTGTAACACTTAATTAACTTCTGGCTTATTACCTGCCTATTATTAAGGTTTTAACTGTTTATCAGTAGTAATAAAGTATAATCTTACTCTGCATCTCTAATCTAAAACCTAAACCCAACTTCTACCATACTAACTATGAAGCTTATTAGTAGTCTACTAAGCTAGTGGTGTTAGTTCAAAGATGCCAAAACTAGGGCCTGTAGGCCAGTGTTGGCCCATGGTAACTTTTGATTTGGCATATACCATCCCATCTGAGAGAGGGAATTTGGGGGAGGGTTGGGTTTAATGCCTTTTAATACACATTGTCATTTCTATTTTAACATAACATTTCATTTGTTAGCTTAATTTTTAACATACAAATTTTTTTACCAAAAACTTAAAAGTTTCAATTAACTGTAGTAAATTATTAAAATAAAAATACTGTTGCTCAATGGAAAGTGCACAATTCAGAAGTCATAAGTAAGCAAATCTAGGTAAAGTCTAGATCAGATATGCGGCCGGCCAGAAGTGCGATATGCACTTTTAATATAGCAGCATTTTTTTATGACACTCTTTAACAATAATTAATATTTTTACAGTACTGTGACGGTTGGGTTTAAGGTTGGGTTGGGGGTAGGCGTCAAAATGTACAATTTATTGGGTAATTTAATAGATAGCATAAATAATACTCGGTAAACCGTCTGTTTTTACCTTACTGTGATGGTTGGGTTTAGGTTTGTGGTGGGGGTAGATGTTAATAAAATACAATAAATCGGGAAATTTAATAAACAATATTATGAATTATTGTCCTTAACTTTCAGCTGCAACCATATCTGATTTATCAACAACCGCAAATCAAGGCAATGACAAGTACAGCTTGACTATGGTATTCAGCATTAAACCTAAATGTAACTCTTATGTTTTTATTATAATAGGTTTATTATAATATATATATTAATAATATATATATATATATATATATATATATATATATATATATATATATATATATATATATATATTATTATTATTATTATTATTAATATAATAATAATATATATATATATATATATATATATATATATATATATATATATATATAGGAATTATATAAGGAAATCACCATGTATAAATTTACCTTCGGCCCATAGCCCTCAATCAAGTGGATTGGATTTTGGCCCTTCATAAGAAAAAGTTAGGGCACCCCTGTGTTAGTTAATAGTTTGTTAACTGTGAATTGTGACCTAAACTAAAGTGTAAGCCTACTGTTATTTTTGGTACTGTATATAAAGCTTCTCATTCTTAGTAAACAAATGAATTGCAATGCAATGCAGTTCCATTTATGCTGTTTTCCACTATTGGTAACAAGTAGGCTATAAAAAATCTAATGTAACATGCTAACATTGAAGAAGGCATGTGGTTTGTGTGAAGGTTACTCAACATTTCAACAGAAATTTTCTGAAGAAACATCAAGCTGCAGGACTGCACACCAGTCTTCAAAAAATCAAGTAGCTATAGGTTATGTTCTGTAAAAAATCTTATTCGATTTCTTGGCTTGACTGTAATTCTCAGTTTAGCTGCTCGAACACCCAGGCGTTTAGAGTCCAGCGAGAACAGAGTCTGTGTATTTACATAAAGATTTGAGAGCTAACATTACATTGGGCTGGCCTGCGGTCAGACATCAAATAAGCGGCTTCAATATCATAAAGTCAAGGTGACATTAGCAAACACCCTACATAGTGCACACTGCTAGCGACGCTAAGCTGGCGATGTCGCTCGCGCGCAGATCGACAATCATGGAAGCGCGTCCGTTTTCATTTCCGCTTTATTAATATCGAAGCATGCGACCAAACGAGTCATGTAATCACATACAACTCGCGCATTCACAGCATTTATTCACTAATATATAACCACCTCACTGGCTATCCGTGATTATATAGCCTACAAACAAATATGTTGTTGATGCGCACCAAAAACTACACAATATATGTTCGCATATTCATAAAGTACAGTGTTCATAAACTAACCTGACATCTGCAGACCATGTCAGCGTCCTGAGCCAGCAGGTCCACCACCTTCCCTTTGCCTTCATCGCCCCACTGCGCTCCGAGCACCACGGTCACTCTGTTGCCCACACTGGGGCTCTTCCCGCGGCTCGAGCTGCTGTTGCCTCCGTCCTGCGGCTGTGCGTCCCCGCTGTCTGACATGACCGGCTCGCCTATAATCCTCCTGCAGCTCCGCAATGCTCTTCCGACATACACACACTCTCACTCCCAAACACACACACACAAACACACACACACCTGAGCGGAGACCGAGGGCGGAGCACAGCGCCTCCAAACACACACCCACACCATACAGTAGCTACAGTACACAGTGCAAATGTTTTTTATAAATAGACCAGTCCCTCATGTCACCAACACACAGGCAAGCGTATAGCCTAGCATTTCAATCCTGTTTGTAATCGTAAAGCATACTGTTATTCGTATTAATGTTATATATTTTTTATGAAATTGTCTACAGTTAATTGAAGTGTCTTTATTTTAATTGTTTGTTCATAATTATTAAACTATTGCCACATTTTCTACTCACGGACAGAATACTGATTAGGCCTACATTTAGCCTGAAATACATAATCAAATTACAATATTTTAGAAATAAGATGTTTTAAAATTCTAATAATCAGATTTTATTTTATTGATTACATGGCATTATTCATATTATTGATTAATGGCCATCACTTTTATGATTAGGCAAAATAACTGTAACACAACAGTGCTGGATGACAGGGTTAAGGTTCCAAGTGCAGTTTATTTAGAAGATTAGTCAGACAAGCAACGGTCAAAACAGGGGTAAACAGCAGATAATCAAAAATCATGGTCAATAAACAGGTAAGCAGTCGGTACAAGCGGCAGGCAGGATAAACAATACAACAAGGCATGAAGTAAATACGGAAGTAATTGAAACTGCAATTAATCAAAATTCTGCTAGCCCTGGCTCCTTAATAGAGCAAGTTTCTATTGACCCCACTTTTAAAATGGCCTACTTTACAACAGAAAAAAAGGGTGTTTACAGCCTGGTACAAAGAAAGATTTTAGTTCATATAGCTAATATTACCCTACATGACAACTGTGAGGGGGTGTTTGTTTTTAAGAACTCATCCATTTTCTTTATATTAGGTTATATTAATTCTGCAAAATTAGGGGGTGGCCACTTAAGTGACAGCTAGGTCTTGCTGGTCACCGCCCCTTCACCTCAGCTGATTCCGGCTGATTAGCCGCTGAACTCGGCACATACATCGTAATTTTGTTTTGTTTTATGTGGCTTTACATCGTCAGTTGCTTTTGGGAATTATTTCTTACAATTATCAGATCATATAGCATGCTGTGTGGACTTTATTGTGCTCACATACCATTCAAGTGGCCTCCATTTCCCAGGTGAGTCTAAAATCTAAAAATGTATTTCTTTATCATTTATGTTTTACTTTAGAACTTGAATGGACTCCAGAATCTGACAGATTGATTAGCTGTAGGCTATAAAACCGTCATCTGAAACGCTGTCATACAGTGTTATGCCTGGATTTCATCAATAGCCTTGCATTTACTAAGACTTAATTTATAGTATTTGGTTGTTATTTGCGTTTTTCCTCCTGCAGAAAAACATCATAAGAACAATGTTTAGTGGCTCAATGGATTACAACAGTGTTTTTAAAAGTCTAAACAAGGATATAGTGTACAGCTCAGCATGTGGTCAGAACACAAACGAGTCGCAGGTAATAAAGTAGGCTATAAAGCAAAATACTAGCAGGCGTCTGTAGCTCTGCTCACGCTCTGCCTCTCTGCCTCTCTGCCCTTGTTTGGTGTTCCCAGGGTGGTACGATGATACCAATCAAAATGGTTGGCCACGCCTACTGGTAACTTCTTTTGGGTTCTTCAGAAACCTATGGGTGATGTTACGGATACTATGTTCATATCTTTTACAGTCTATGGTTTCGACACAGTGTTAAGATCCCAAAGCGCTATTTTTTCAAAACACTGCACCGAAGCATGATCTGAAACACCCAGGTCACGTGACTAAGGTGATTTGAAACACCCAGGTCACGTGACTACAGTGTTCTGAAACACCAAATCTCATAACTAAAACGATTCAAAGCATCGGTCATTTCAAAAGCATTTCAAGACCTGACGAATCTGCATTTGACTGACAGGGTCGGAAACAAACCTCTATTTCATGTAGCCAAGTGGACCGCACTTTGCTGCAAATGGTCCGAGTTTGATTTCCGACTTGTACAAATATTCTGAAAATACAACTTAATGTATTTTATTAATGCTACTTTTTTATGACCAAAACAAGACATATTTCATATTTATTGTTCATTCGGATATCAGACCACTGTTAAACCAATCACCCTGGATTTGAACCCATTATCTCTGCATATAACTCTGGAACTCTCACCGCTTCACTAAATAGCTTGAAACTCCAGCAATATGGTGTTTAATACCTCAGTTTGCGTAACTGTTTCAGAATAATACATACAAATGTCACTGTATAGACAAGTTTAAAAAACGTGTCGAAGCTTCGACACATTTGCTTCACATGTTTCAGTGTTTCATGAACCCTCACTTTGCCCACCACTAGTCAAAACACGGCTAGACAAAGCAAGGGAAACCATGTCGTAATTTCACAGTTTTAACAGATAACGAGACTAGGCAAAGTCTGTGTGCTTTTGTGCTGTATATATGGTAGTATATATGGTAATCAGTCTTTGAGCAGTTCCCAGCTGTGTGTGTGTAATCAAAGAAGAACCGGAATAGGTGTGAGTTTGTGGTGCATGACAGGATTTGTAGTTCCTTTGGTGGCAGATTAATTCTCCAGCGATCTGTATGGACTGGATCAGGGGTTCTCATACTTTTCAGCCCACAACCTACAATATTATCTCGGGTGGATATAAATATATATACCTTGCACACAACAGCGCATATCAATAGGGCCAAGTTTATTCATCATTTAAATTTGGAGAACGCTACTCGGCATTCAGTTATGTTCAGTAGTGGCCTGCATTTATTTTTATTGTACGTGAGTGCAGTAAAGGTGTCAGAAAGTTTAACCTGGTGATGGTGCCATAAAATCAATGTGCTGCATCTGACGCTATTGCTGTGTCTTTAATATAATGTAATCACCTAGGGATCACAAAAAAATAAATAAAATTGAAAGACTAAAAGCATTTTATTTGCATGTTGTTTTTTATGTTTATTATAACATGTTAACAAAGTTACTATTTGCTACTATTTTGTTTGTCTGTTATGAATAAAATATGATAATTCTAATAGTTTAATAGAATGAATTTGATTTTTGGAAATTTCCAAGCCGAATCTTTACCTCCACTTTGGGAACCACTGGACTAGATCGCTGTTGATTGTGACAATAACGAGTTGTTAATGGAATTATCTCTTTAATTGTGTTTTGAGCGAGACTCCACACATCGAAGAAGGAGCTTTATTAAACAAACTAAAAGATATAAAAAATAGTCTGATTAAAATGTGTAAAACAAAATCATGCACTCCAAAAAAACAAAAAATATGCTGGGTTATTGTAACCCAAAATTGGGTCAATCATTGACAAAACTCAAAAGTTAAATTACAAAGTATAATTTAAATGTTTACCCAAAATAAAAAATAAAAATTACATCTTCATTTATTATCTTTGTATGATATTGAATTATTGTGCATTGCACAGTTGGAAATATTGAAGTCAGTTGGTGGCAGCTACTAGCTTTTTTTCAAAATATCTTCTTTAGTGTTGAGCAAAATAAAGACAGTCAAATAGGGTTTGAACAAGTGAAGAGTGAGTAAATGATAACAAGTTGCATTTTTTTGTGTGCCTTTCCCTTTAATGCAGTGCTGGTCCTTCCTCTGTATAATGCCTATGCAAGTAGCAAAGAGCCCCTCAACCACCAGGGGGCCCCCTTGCTCTCAAAGAGGATTTTAATGTTTGATTTTGGCTTCTAACGATTATGAAAACACAATGACAATCTAACAGAACAAGGAACAGGCAAGGAACTAATTATTAATTATTAAATCAATGGAAGCAAACAATAAACTAATTCAGGTAAAAGACAAGACAATTAAAACAGTTGCCTAGAAACTAAATTTCATTAATCTTTTATCAATGTGTAGTTTACAGAATTGTGGTTAGCAATCAATCACAGCACATCCGTGCATTTCTAAATGTTGATGCTGTAAATTAATCAGCAATGATGAGAAAGCATGAGAAGCACAGTGTTGTGTTTGCCAAATAAATAAAAAAACATAAAAGCAACCATGAGGACCAGTGCTATTGCAAAATGTGTTTCTAATAAAAACAACCTGGTGATAGTCATGAGTTCTCCCAATGTCTTACAGCCTAGGTTTTATGAATTGAAGAACTTTTTTGGGTTGTGTTTTGAGAAATTCCAAAACAAATATGCCTGTGATTATGACACAAGCAAAATAACACTGTAAAGTTCAAAGATTAAACAAACCATTCTAAAACCTTTAGTAATATGAGTCACACACACATTGCTTTACTGCTAATGGTCTGTGCTAATGGTAATTGATGCAACCTGCAATAATATATATAAACATACTAACAACATAATAACATACTTAGCAATACCTAAGCAACCACTCAGAACACCCTAGCAACCAAATAGCAACATCTTAACAACCACTTAAAACACCCTAGCAACGCCTTAGCAACTACTCAGAACACCCAGGCAACCGCCTAGCAACACCTTAGCAACCGCCTAGCAACCACTCAGAACACCTTAGCACCCGCCTAGCAACACCTTAACCAGTCTAAACACCCTAGCAATGCCTTAGCAACCACCTAGCAACCACTCAGAACCCCCAACTGTGTAAGAAGGGGTTTTAACCACAGTGGTTCGAACTGTAGTTCTGCCGAGTGACTAAAAATTTATCAGCATGTGATGGTAAAAAACTGTTCATTTTAGTCAAACTATTCTTCTGCAATCTCATACAAAAAATAAAAATTAAAAAATGGAAATAAGGTCAGTATTAATAACTAAAATGTGGGAGAGTATTGATATTATGTGATTGTATTGTATTGCAATATGGAGCAATTAAGAGTTGATGTTAAATCAAAAGTAATTAACAAATACTTGAAAAATTAATTACAAAATAACTGTATAAAATTATAAAATATGAAATGATGAAACATTTGA